TCACAATTACTTTCACCAAATTCACGAACCAACGCTTTAAACCACTAGGCTATTGTTTTCGGCGAAGCGTTGTGATAGCAACAAAGATGAAGACAATAATCCGCATGTAAATAGTGTAAATAATGATAACTCCTCATCCCAGAAATTCAGACAAAAATAAATATTTTAACCTAATACCTTGGCATTGTTTTTTTTTTTTAAACCATCTACAATTAACTGGATTTGAACTCGAAATCCATTGCTTACCTGAGTTCAATTCTCTATCCTACTACCAATCAGCATAAATAACAGACACCTTTTATCAGTCGCTGCTTCTAGAAGTGTAACCAGACACATTATACCCCACACCCCTCTGACCGCTGACCGGCGATTCATCGTTTTAAATGTAGGTACTTAGTCGACCGTACGATGTACTGACCATTGTCCAAAATTTTAATCATGTCATTGTCGGCCTAGTGATCTGACCACTTGGCGCACAGCCAGGGCTGAAACGAAATGTTATCAACGACCCTCACCTTCTAAATAATACGTAAATTTGTGTGTGTGTGTGTGTGTGTGTGTGTGTGTGTGTGTGTGTGTGTGTGTGTGTGATGTTCACCAAATCACCTCGAGTTCTGGGCGGTCAGTCTTCCTACCTGGTCCATTAGATTATTAACAATACATGAAAACACGATCATTGTTTCAAGCGAGGTAGGCTTTTAAGCATGACATGGTCTCTTACATAGTGAATGTTATTTCAGTTCTATAGAGACGATGAAGCCTCGTTCTCGTACACATAAATGGAAGAAAGCTGGCAAGGTTGATGAAAAGCAATGGACAAGAAAATGGTAGCAAAGAAGAGAGAAATAAGGAAGGAGTAATCTAGTTTGGCTTTAAACGAATTAAACTTACAAATCTTAATGAAGACGATGCTTCATCAGATCCTATAGACTAACACTACAAAAGAGAAACAATAACAATAACTTGAACGGTTCCGAGAGTAGCAGCAGCGAAATGGTTAGCATGTAGACCGAAACGAGATAAGGATATGATCAACTTGTTAAAATGGCGTAAGAGCCGAATACAAAAAAGAAAAAATGGACGGAAACTACAATCAAAACCAGAAAGAATTATAACAGCGACTTGAGAAATATATATTCCAGAAAGAAAACTGTTTTAACAAACATTCTATAAATTTCTACCGATAGAAAAAAGAAATGTTCCGTCAATGGCTATCGATTTGTTGCGTTTCGTGTCGTTACTGACTTCAGTCTCACGTTGAAACAGCAGTTCTCATATGATCACCAAAGTGAAGCAACGTCAAGCCTGGTCAGTAACTAGATGGGTGACTACTTGGATACACCAGGTGCTGTAAGCTTGGATGCGCAGTTGGTGCATAACGTCTCTGAATTGTAAATCGGAGAGCCGAGTTCCAATTCTAGTCAGCTACGTTATATTCATTTATATGAAAATACCCTTGGGAAAGTTATGAATCCACCTCCTCTAGCCCCAGCTTTGGGTTAATTAGTTGGACTTGTATTCGTATAATCATTATTATCATCCCACCAAAACACAAACAAAACAAACTTCATACAATCTAAAAAATATTTTCTGGTTTTAAATAACCTCCAAAAAGGTAGATAAGCCGTTTAAAAAACAAAAAACTATTATGAGACCTTACCCATAATAACATAATGGACTATTCCATACGTAATAAATACTGCGCCTCAAGAGGAAGCAGAGAGTTCAGCCCGAAGTCGGGCGACCGGCTGATCGGCTGAACTCTCTGCTTTCGGGCGGGGAGCAACCCGAACGAGGCTACGACGATGGGCGGATTCTCTTTCGGAGAGGTAAACCGACCCTGAACCCGTTTATAAGGGTTCAATGGGCATATTTTTGGCCGAGCCCAAGGGCTCGGAGTTCCCACGTTAAAAAGGCCTTGTGCCACATAACGCCCGAAGTCGGGCGATCGGCGGATCGGCTGAACTCTCTGCCTTCGGGCGGGGAGGAACCCGAACGAGGCTACGCCGAAGGGCGGAGTCTCTTTCGGGGTGGTAAACCGACCCTGAACCCGTTTATACGGGTTCAAAGGGCATATTTTTGGCCGAGCCCACGGGCTCGGAGATCCCACGTTAAACCGGCCTTGTGCCACATGATGCCCTCGTAGTGGGGGGGGGGACTAAATACCGTTCAGTCTGAAGTCTGGAGTGAGGTCCGTCAGAAGTCCGTCAGGAGTGTGAGTCAGTCAGAGCGAGTCAGTCAGTCGAGTCAAGAGTCGAGTTAGAGGCAGTCCGTTCAGACAATTACTACAAGACATTGGAATAGTGATACTGGTCGAGACTACATTGTTCTCCCTACCAAACCTGATTGTTCGTACTAACACTTTCTCCATCTCTGTATATATTCCTGTTTGTAATTCTCCTTTATTGGTTCTACTTTGGACCATCACCGTGGTACAAGGACCTGGACCATAACACAAACAAAAAACAAATAAACCAGAACCAGCGCCGCTTCATAGATTATATCAACGATAGACGGTTTCTTTTTCCTGTTCGTTTTTATAAGAGGGTAGGGACATACGCGGTAGCATTGAGTCAACGGAAGGAAGAACTTCAAAGGGACGCTTGCTCGCTCGAAACAGGGCGTGGGAAGCGTATCGATGCTTCTCAATTCCTTCCAGAAGGAGACAACAGCAGAGCCATTAAGCGCTCAAGTGTTTGCGAATAACGTTTTATGTGTCGGCGTCTGTCACTTGAAGATCTGAACGGAATCCCTTGTCAGCAAATCTCCATCAGATTTACATATAGATACTTGGACCGTCAATGTCTAATTGGACAATGATAAACAGTTCCAGATTTGTCTGTTATGTTATTTGTTATTTTCTCCGAACGGAAGCGGAAAGATTTTAATTTTTATCTGACATTTTGTTAAAGAAAAGAAAAGAAGAGAGAGAGCAAAGGATTTGATTATGAAGCAAATAAAATCTCATGTTATATGAGAATTTGTTATTGGACTTTTTGGGCTTTTACTTACAGAGGTAGACATCTGTTTATCTCGCAAGATAAAGGTAGGGACCCGTTTGCTCAAAATTCAGTCCATTGTTGGTGAAATTGGAGTGACCTCTCCAGGGTGTAGGCCTAGGTGATGGTACATGGTGGCCGTGCGCTGCCCAGTCTACAAGCCTCACCACTTTCAGCAGTACCGACAAGATCCAAAGGAATACAACGCATACCGCAGTTTGGCTGCTCGAGTTGCCGGAAAGTTGTCAGTGTTGACATCCACTGCCTTCGGGGCTCCATTTCGTGTTTTCTGTCTGGATTTATTTCCATAGCCTTTTCCGTGTTTGGATATGACTGCAAGGCAGAGAAGGTTTAAAAATCACAGTTTTCCTTCTCTTAGATGGACTACTTTCTCGGGCTGTCGAGCTTTAACTACCCGAAGCAGCTGGTTATGAGGCACCAGTTTTCCACCATTGCCCATTCACCGGCTTGGAGCTGGAATTTATTGTCGGATGCTATTTTACAAAAGTAATGTTGTTTTGAATAAAATATACTATTGTTTATGTCATTTTCTCTTGTAATGTTTCAATAAACTATTCTCGTTTTAAACTGGATAGCACTAGTTATCCTAGGACATATGTACAAAGACTGATATTACAATAAAGAAAATTTCTCGTTACTTGAAACGTAACACCTGTCTTAAGCTTCGTACCACAGCGAGAACAACTCGTACAGCGTGAGAAAATAGAGTGAGATGTTTTTGCTTGAAATGAATGATTTTTCACTGATGATGGAGATGGAAAAAAATCAATAACAACATTTCTCTTTGTTACTACTGTCTTAAAAGAATTATATTGTATTTTAGTGGCAGTCAGTAAAGAAATTTGAGAGAAAAGATTATTCAAAATACCACCAGAGAAGTAGTCTGACTATAGTTGCACAAAAATAGGTAAACGTTTACCTTTCAATAATATATGCACTTTACTGTGTTTTTCTTGTGGAATTACAAGCTACAGAGCATCGAAATTGAAAAGACAAGAGAAAAATGTTCTTTTTCGGGTGAAAAGAAGAATTGAAATAATTGTAAAAAAAAGCTATTTACAGTCTGAATATTATCCTTTTAGATTATTTTTGAATATTTCTTCTTTTGTCTTCGTGAAGACAAAAAATGAAAAAGTAGATAAATTTATTTATGGTATCTTTCTTTAAAACAGTCTGCATAGCGCTTTTAGTGATAAATTCACTTGCTCTGTATTTTATACCTAAGACAAATATTCGGCAAATCGGCGATTTTAGACATTCTTCACAATTTTATTTTATTTTTTTTATTCAGTTTCTTAATTTAGCATATTTTCTCAAATAAGTATCACCCAAGTAATGGAAAAATATTTTTTCGGTGTTGCCCCATAGTTGATCATTGTGTCATGGACGCTCACAATGAATTCTACTCATTGTGTCATGGACGCTCACAATGAATTCTACTCGATTACACCAAAATCTATCGCCCGATTCATACTCTTCTTCGGTCTTTCTAAACAAGAGTCCAGGTTTATCCAATCTTTTTTTTTTAGGATTGGGTTCCTGGTTCCTTCTAAAGTCGTCTTCTCTCTCACTTCCAGTAGCTCTTTGCGTCTGGTTGGCATTATCAGCTTGCTTGGGGTGAATTGAATAAAAAAAAAATAAAATAAAACTACAAGACAAGGACTATTCTGTTAAACAGGTTGGTTGATTTTTTTTAGTGTCATATCAATCTCTAAGGTTGATATGGCTCTAAACTAATGCCGAAATCTAAATATTCTGTATTCAATTTTATTTATTTATTTTTTAGGTTATATTAATCTTAGTGATAGAAGACTTACTAATTAACCCATAACTAGAGGAGAAATGGTGGATTCATAGCTTTCGTAAGTATATTTGAGCAGAAGTGAATCTAACAAACACAAAGGGAATTGGAACGCGACTCTCCGATTTCCAACGTCGAACCCTTCTTCATTGCATCACCCATACATCGAAGCTTAGAGTATCTGGTTTCCCAAGCAGTCACCCATTTAGATACTGGCCAGGCTTGACGTCGTTTAACTTCGACGATTGTACGGGAACCGGTGTTTCAACATGATATGGTCGTAAGCCCATTCTGTTAAATAGTTGAGCCCCATTTTGCGATGACGACACACAACAGCTGATCATTGATGAACTCTTTTTTTTCTTAGCCGGTTCATAAGACAAATAAAACACGCAACAGTAGAATCGATATATTTTGAGAAACGTGCAAAGTGTTAGCGTCAGTTTAAGATGAAAATAGGAACATAGTATTAATTCAAAGAATTTTTAAATTTTCATTCAACGTTTTCAGCTATTCGGAAGCAGGATATTTTCATGGGATATGCTATCAGTAGAATGATAAAATAAAGAACAAATAGGAAATATTTATCAATCTAAAATGTTTCACTTTTATTAAAGTTTCATTAGAGAATGAGATATGGTGAAAAGAAGAAATAAATTATAGTATTTTTACCTTTCTGCTGTTTTATTTTAATTTGTCAAACATGTTTCACGCGCATTCAACTCTTTAAACCAACGTTAGTATAACTTGTGGCGTTCCGAATTCAAGAAGATACGACGCGTCCATCCGAAGTTACAAGAAATTACAGTTTTTCAGATAGGCTTGGAATTCGTTAAATATTGCTATATGTATATGTATGTATGTATGTAAGTATACAACAATTCTAGTCTCTCTCTATAGGAATCAGATGATAATAATGTATATTCCTAAGTGTGTGTGTCTGTAAGTGTTTAGTAGACTTTACGTTTGGTTTTTCGCATGTCGATTTAGTAACGTTTTACGTATATACAGTTTGTTTTAGATAAACATACACAAGATTCTTTAAGAATGGATTCAATAAAGGCTGGTTATGTAATGCAATGTTTTTGACGTCTGTTTATAGTTGGTAACATTGTGATTGGTAGGCTCTTAAAGTAGTTTCTTCTTAGAGGATTACGTTCTTTTTTAAATAGGATGGAAAGAATAAAATCAAATTTAAATTTAATGTTATTGTGGCACAAACTAACAGAACATGAAACTAAATCTTTCATGGCTAAAAATATTTATTCGCCTCCTGACTTCATTAGAATTAGTGTTAATGTGTGTTGCTTTTGTTCAAACATCGATTTTCTAAAAATGTAATGTTATCATTGTAAAGACTAAGAGAAAGACGAGACTAAATCTCTTATATATAAAATTATTATTCGTCAATTTATATCAGTGTTATACTGAAACACACCTATACTATTGTTAATAGACTCTCCCACATATAATGAGTAGTAGTAGTAGAAGTAAGCTGGTGAGTCAGTCGATGTCGGACAGTAAAGTATCTACCACCACAACTAGATTGCTGCGTCATTAACTATTATAACAAGTTCCTAACGTTTTGTACGTCGAACCTTTTTTAGGACCGACTTAGTGAAATACAAGCCTCCACTGTGAAAGTACTCTACAACACATTGGGGACGAAGGATTCGTTCTCATACGGAGGAAGAAAAACTTTTCGTACTCTACAACAATCAGTGAGTGCTTTTACCGAACACGGATATTCTCGTGAGGATGCACTAGAGTCTGTTTCTTCTCTCGGATGGGTGATGATTATATATATATATATAATCATATGGTTTGTTCTACATCTGCCCATCCTAAGAGCAGCTTGGTCGACCATATGTCTACATGTCGGTGTTAGCCTCTGACATCCTGTTTGGCACGTATCTGAACCTGACGGCCAGAAAGATATCGTTCAAGTCAATCCACTGATGTATCTGGCCTCTCTGATGGTCTGGTTTGAGTTGAGTCTATTTTGGTATCGTCTGGGGTGAACCCAGTACATACTGGGCGTCATTACAGATCAACCCCTTCCAAGAGGAAGGGGTTCTTTATTGATATTAATTTCAATTCAGACCATTCGTTATTTCCTGTCATGAATGACATACTACACATAGTCAATCTTCCCACGAAGAAATTGTGTGTAAAAAATTATGGCTTAAGCAACTGGACAGATTGAGTTCTCTTGTTATTGATGGCAACCAATCAGAAAGAAGGAAATCGAAAACGTATAGGTATACTGACGTCGATTGTGGACTGGCGATAATTAGACTATCAGCCCCAAGATTTTTCATGATAGATATATTCTTCATGACAAGAAGCTCATACAAATCTGCTTAAAATGGCAGTCGAACGTTGTGCTTTTATTTTTACCTGAACGAAAGTATGGCGCCAGTGGCATTAACTATTTTTTTTTTCAGCCAGAGTTTATTTTTTATTTATTACCAATGGCAATACATTGAATAGTTTCAGTTATGGGAATTATCTCAACCACCTGAGGGGATACACATACACTGACACCTCTCTCTCTCTCTCTCTCTCTATATATATATATATATATATATACACACACACACGTATGGGACAATGGAAAATTTCTGTACACCCACCAAACGGAAAAACGTAAGGACCTTGGAAAAACTAAATGAAAAAAATAATTAAATCTTCCTTGTCTATTTAACGAAAGAAGTTTAAAAAAAGGGTATTATATATATATATATGTGTGTGTGTGTGTGAGTGTCTGTTTGTAGGAAGTATAATTGTTCTCGAAGCAAAAGTGAAGCTGAGACAATGTGAAAAACTTTTATGAAAAGGCGCGTTTCGCCAGAGAAAGCTTATGTTCACTTTGGCGTCATCAGTTTGAAAAGACAAAACCTGTGTGCATAGGTGTATATCGATGGGCATGTATATGTATACGTGTAAAAAAAAAAAAAAAAAAAAAAAAAAATGCATATTAATACATGCATATTCCTAGGTGTATGTATATGTAGGCACACATATGTAAGTGTAATATATATATATATATATATATATATATATCTATCTCAGTATATGCGGAATTTTCTACTATATTTAATATATTTTTTATAATACTATTTTTTTATATATTGAATTTAAATTTAATCCTTTACAGAATTTTATTCTTTCCTTTTTCTTTTTTCCTTCTTTTCTTCCTTTGCCTTTCAAATTTACTGTGAAGAAACGCTTTATTCACTTTAGTAAATGTATACGCATTGATAAGTCCATGGAAAATCTACTTTTCCATGGATGACATGATCATCTGTATGAGGTACATCGATCGTTTGGATCTCATTAATTGTAATCCACACACACACACACACACACACACACACACACACACACACACACACACATATGTGTGTGTGTATATTGTGTACATGTAGGTATCTATGTGTATAGAAAAAGTAATAAAATGTCCCTAAATTAAAATCCAACAATATCAAACGGCTTTATTACAGATATTGATGAAACAAACATGCACAGAATCCTACAGATTCTCTTCAAGTGATTAACTAGGGTAATTGATGTGATTGTGGAATCGGAGGGCCGAGTTCAAATTCCAGTCGAATCCATTATATTCACTTATGTGCTAATACCCTTCGGAAAGGTATGATTCCTCTTCTCCTCCCAGCTATGGGTAAATAGCAGGACAGACCGTGTTCTATAGCCTTGTATGGCAACTGGTCTACCGCAGAAAAAATGGCTATCTACTGCGGGAAAAAATCTGCTTCGAAAGATACATGATCGCCTAAGCGTGTATCCCGCATGGCACATAACTGACTGAACTTATCCTCGCAGATCACAAAACACACTCTTAAAATATAGTTCTATCTTTCTTTTATTCAATCTGATGACGCCAATGAGAACATAAGCTTTCTCCGGTGAAACGCGTTTTTGGGAAAAAATTTTCCACTTCATCCATCCATACATATTAGAGAGTGTGAAAAGTTATCAGCTCAACTCACTTCCTTAAATCACTATTCTGAAATTTAGTCATTTAAATTCCGATTATGTGAAGTTAATTGGGGAGAGAATTTTATAACTCCATTTATATATATATATATATATATATATATATATATATATACACACACACACACACAGGAGAGAGATTTGATATCGCAATAATGAAAGTGGAGGATAGAAACCAAGGTAATTATTAGACAAAATTATTGAGTTAGCGAGATAAAAGAGAAAATGGCTAATGAGGAGAGATTGACGAAACAAATAATAGGAAAAGAGAGAATGAAGAAGTTGGGAGAGAATAAGAGAGAGAAAGTGGTGCGTGAAAATTATAAAAGATAAAAGACAGCGTGAGAGAGAGAGAGAGAGAGAGTGAGAGAGAGAGTGAGAGAGAGAGTAAGAGAGAGAGAGTAAGAGAGAGAGAGTAAGAGAGAGAGAGAGAGAGAGAGTGAGAGTAAGAGAGAGAGAGAGTAAGAGAGTGAGAGAGAGTGAGAGTAAGAGAGAGAGAGAGTGAGAGAGAGAGTGAGAGTAAGAGAGTGAGTGAGAGTAAGAGAGTGAGAGTAAGAGAGTGAGAGAGAGAGTGAGAGTAAGAGAGTGAGAGAAGCGCAGGAGAGATACAAGATAAAAGAGGATAGTGGAGGGAGTAGTGATAAAACAGAAAGGGGGAAAAGTAGGAAAAATCGAGAGGTGAGAAGAATTGAGAAGAAATGAAAGGAGAGAAGAAAGAAATTGTGGAGCCGATCTGAATCGAATGCTGTTATTGTTAATAATACTAGTACCAGTAGTAGTCGTAGTAAAAGAGAAGTAGAAAATAAAATGAGGAGAAATAATTGGTAGGATCGAAAGGACGGAGAACAAAGGAAAACGAAAGAAAATAATGAAAAGAGAAAATGAGGAAAGAAATGCAAGATGCCCTTTCCGTAGATATCGCAACGTGAAGATTGAATGTAAGAAAGAACAAGCAAAAATTGAGACAATGAGGAATGGTGTCAGAGGCATGAAACCAGGCGGGAAAATTAGAAAGAAAAAAAATACGAGGGAGAAGAAGAGATCAGAATGCATAAGAGATACAAAGGAAGAAGGATATACATGTATAAGAAAGTCTCAGAAGATCTGGAGAGGAATGAAAGACAAAAAAGACGGAAGCATATGAAGAAACGAAGACCAGATGAACGAAATAGCCACAATACTGAATAAAAAGTGGAAGGAAAGGAAGATATTTAAAATTAAAAGCGTTGGTTCCTAATAGATTAATACTAAGGCGACATCGATT